TGTTTCTTTTAAACTGTAGTTAAAAATACTAATTTCTTAACGTCAGTGTTTGGCTTTTGTGTGTTAACTTATTAATACTAGTGAAAAGTAGTGGAATTATCACGTTTACATTTTCCAAAAAAAGAAAGAACGCATTTTTCTGTACTCATGCCACATATTCACTTTAACTTGCATCGATATACTGGTGAAATATTGATGGTTTCCTTAAAATAAGATCAAAACTAATGAGTATTTTTTTTGTGAGCGATTGTCTCTCTTTGATGAGAGAAAATACAGAAAAATCATGCAACAATAGTGTCGATTATGAATTTATTATTGAGAAGAAGATAAACTGCATCATTTATTTTTTCATTGATTAGCATCAGCCTTTTATTTTATTTCTTAAAACGGCATAAACATAAACAATGTTCTTTTTAACTAACCATAGATAGTGTAGAAAAAATACTAATGATAGAATATTCTGCGTATGACATGTAGTCACAAAAAAACTAAGATGTAGAAAAGAGTTTTCGGGTGTGGGGGTTGTTGAAGTTGGCAGTTGGTGGAAGACTAGCAATCCACACCAACCCTCTCTGTCGACCGGTATAACTACGATACAACATATCTGTATTCATATTCTCGATTAAGTTAGGCTGACTGATGTCGGTCTCTGTTATTCTCAAGCCGATAGAATTCCTTGCAGAATATTTTTCCATGTTAGCGACACATATAAAGTAGATTTCACCATTAACCTGTTCGAAAATTCTTTGCTGTCTAATCAATTTGGCAACAGTTCTATTCACGAAGGAACTATCGAATGCACGTGCTATTTTGCATGGTCATTTAAATCACATCAATATTAAGTATTTCAATTTTTTTTACAAGAAAGAGTAGAAGCAATTCAAATAAATAGCTTTTAAATACTTCTGTATAAACGAATATAAATAAGTTCAACCTTTATACAATTAATTTGACGAAACATTTAAAAAAAATTGATATCGCATAGAATAATAAAAAATCATGTGATACATTGGAAACCTTGTTTGAATACATAAATGAATGAAGAACACGAGCTTAAGTAATTTTACATGTATTTTTTCGAAGAGAAGAAAAAATAAAATGATGATCAACTAACAGAATGTCTATTGAATATAAAAATCCCAAACTCAATAAAGAAATATTGAACTGGAGTCTATTCAGATGTAATGAATAATCTTGTACAGCGCATTATTCAATACAATGGAAATTAATTGCTGATTTAAAAATAAATAATGCATTCAATACCATTAAAATGATGTTTAATTTAGAAAAATACTATGAGATCGAGAATAAAACTTTAGTTGCTAATAGAGCTAAAAACGCATTCAAATGTTGAGATAATTGTAAAACGACACCTATCTTAGTCAAAAATGATTGTATGTCTGTACTTAATTGTTTAGAAAGCTTTGTAAGAAATTGTGTGATTTTATTCGAAAATAAATCAAAATCAAAATAGAAAAAATTTGTTCGAGAAAATTTAAATAATATCAAATCATTAACAAACAATATGTGAAATAGAGAAAATATATTGTCCTGTATATTCTTGTTTTTTTTAAAGAAAGCAATATAGTTACAGATTCGAAAAATGAATTCTCGTATGATTTTAATGAGTTATAAAATCTTTAAAAACGAAACTATCGATTGTACAAATACTAAATAAATTAATATTGGTTTCAGAAGATGAAACGTATATTGATATAATGAGTGCATGACAAATCTTAGTGATAATATCATTGGGATTTTCCAAAAAACAAAGTGTCACCTATCCGCATATAGGTAGGTAGGTAGATAAATAGATAAGCGAGTAGGTGGATAGATAAAACTGGTGATCACGTAACACCTACACGAGATCAACATGTTCAAAGAGAGAGATGGCATATCGGCGCTCGTTGGGGGGCCCTGTGGGCCACCACGCGCCGAGGCTTAGATAAAGGTGTGTAAAGCCTTTGATCACTTAAGACCTGTGCGAATACGATTTTTTAGTCCTGATCTCGGAGCTTTTTAAAATTAGCGGCGGTCAGGCGTGACCACTTTGCATGTCCCTATTATCTACCCATTTATCTATCTATCTATCTTCCTACCTATCTAAATGCGAATAGGTGACACTTTGCTTTTTGGAAAATCTCAATGATATACTTATATCATCACTGAGATTTGTCATGCACTCGAATACCATAGAAAAAAGATGAAAGGTTTTTTTCTTGGTTGTTACATACTAAAAGAAATTCTCCTTCAGCTTCCTATCAGGCGTTAAGGCGTCACTGTCACTAGTTTTTGACTGAGCTAACTATTTTTTGCCCTAATTCTAAAGGTTATTAAAATCTGCTTCCATTCCATGAAGCAACGATGTAGTTTCATCAGTTGTATCAAATGAAAGTAAATTTTCGTGAAGATATATTTATTAATAGAAAAGAAAAAGGATTGAAATAGTTGCTTGTTTTTTTCCGGGAATTTTATCTCCTTCAATATAGCAAATATTGACTGTATGTCAAAATTAATCAAGAAAAATTAGTTCAATTTGAAGCTTTGAATTTTATGCCTTGTAAAAAATAAAATAAAATATTTGAGTTTTTCCGACATTTAAATATGAAAAATTCCAATTCAACATGTTTTATTTTGCTCATATGTAAATATGAAGAATATACAACAAAAAAATATATTAACATAATTAATGTATTATTAAAGCCACAGTTCAATTGCATTGAAAGAAAATCGTAATCGAAATGGTCGATTAAGTGTATATTGATGTAATTGTCGTCGAATTAAATGTGGAAAACACGGTGTATCATGGAATTCGGAATTGGAAAAGACAATGCGTAGCGAAACAAGTTTTTGTAATTTATCAACAAGCACATAAATAAGAGTAACAATACGTCTTGTGGATTTATTTTTCCCGTCAACAATACAAGATGGTCTCCATTTCCATCGACGATGTGCATCACAAATATTAAATGAAAGTTTCTTCAAGTTAGATAATCGACTCGACAATAATGTGCAAAGCCGTTGAGCATTTTGCAATGTCAATGTTATATCGAAGATTTCGAATGATTCAATCTAATTAATAGAAAATATGATTTATCCTAACGAAAAATAGTTTTTTAGTTATCTCGTAAGTTTAAATCTTCACAATTTTTTCCTTTCTACATAAATTTTGGAGAAAGCTTTTCTTAAAAGAAAATATGAACATTCGTTCAAATAAAATTTACAGAAATAATTTCATCGAGACATTTCTTTTAAAATAGAAATAAAAATCATTACTTGTTGATTGATTAGAGTTGTAAGATTATGATTATTTAATATTGGACGAAACAAAATTCCATAATCATCGAAAATTTCTAGTGTGTGTACGTTATAAGCCATCCGTAATATTGATTCTAATGTGGCCGGAGTAAGAACATAACTATGATTGACTGAAATATTTGTTATTAATGACCATGGAACTAATGATGATATAGAACTTCTACAATTACCAAGATCTCGAACACAATTGATCTTCTTATAGCCACGTAGAGATAATGTATCAGCGCGTGGAAATCGATCTACTGGATTAACCGGCATTTCACAAGATCTAAATAGGAAAAAGAGAAAAGAATTCTATTAATCGTTCATATAAATAAATACTTTTCAAGTTCTTTTGAGAATATGTATGACGAAAGAATTTTGCCATTATCTGGTAAAGTATATACCCTAAAACAATGATATGTAGGACCAATATCTTGATCATTAAGTTCTTGAATGAATACTCTCGGTCGCTGTCGTTGAATAAATGGAACTTTAGAAAACGAATTGAAAATTATTTTTTCTTCAAAAGTATCCGTAGCGTATAATAATAGATTAACACTATAAGTTGCCATTGGTTGAAGACGATCGATGCACAGTTGTTGAATAATGTCACCTGATATAATTAATGGATCAGAAGTTGATGTAAGCGCTTCTATTTTTAATGAAAAATGGCAAAGTTGGCCGAACACAGATGATAAAAGTGTAATAATTCGATGAAAACTTATGCTATTCATACAATTTATACATAGACGAGATAGGTATCGAAGAAGACGAGCATCAATAATAGTAGTAGGTAATCTAAAAAAGATTCATCTAATTGTCAATTGTATCAATGATAACTAAGTGTTACTTACAATTTTATATCATGTATATCATACTCATTACTATCTCGATCTTTTATACCAAAAGAAAGATTCTCGATAAATGGTATACATAATAATAAACGCTCAAGAAAACGTGATGTGCGTATACCAATAGTTAATGTACGCAGATGATTTTGATTTAATAAATTGTGTAACGTTATTTGATATCCCAATGAATTGTTTTCTATTTGATTAACATTGTTATCATCATAATCAAAAGACAGTCGACAAATTTTTAGAAGAGGCATTCTTGAACACACCTATTATTAAATGAAAAATTAGATTTTATAAATCGTTATATTAATAAGGTTTTTGTAACAGAAAAATAATCAGAATTCCATAAAGAAGCGAATGGAAATTATTCTTTTTTTTTCTACCTTAACTAGATAAATTCCTTCAATTTTAAGATAATTAAATGGATTAGAGGATGTCACATCAATTAATAAAGTATGTAATTGTTTTATTAAACGGTTACGCAATAATTTATCGAATTCATGTGGCTTAATATCGATTAAATGTAGACGTTGAAGCAATGTTGTTGGATGATATTGAAGAGAAGATGAAATGAGTGACCATCCACCAATAACATCAATTAATGTTACACGTAGCGAGACCACCCGACCTCCTATTAATTTCAAGATATTTTGACATTGATCATTAAACATCATTAATGACATTGTTGTATCACCAATATGAATGTGCCATAAATATTCATTCGATATGATTCTTGATAAACGTTTTGTCAATAAAAACAATGATTGAAGAATATCAATTGGAGATAAATAACCGAAAATTTCATAAAGAACATCGTCAGGTAAAATTTCGAATGAACTAATACTCATTTTTTTACAGTTCTGTTGTTTATTCATATCGAATCTTTATATACTGACATACACAATGGCATATTTCCGTCTATTTTGTTTGACGAATCATTTTTTTCTAATTTCTCTCTTTCTTTCAATCCTGATTAATTTGAACAAAAGAAAAAGAAAAAGAAACAATATTGACATATGTGTTATTCAATGAATGTAAATAGAATATAGGTTTTTTGTTTTAGCTCTCCATATGTTCTTGAAATATTATTTAAAATCACACAATGTTATGTTCTTGCTCAAACTTAATTTGAACGAAAAAAGAAAAAGAAAATCCTTTTCAGAATTTTATTCTCTCGAACTGCAAATCAAGAAAACTGACTAAGATACTTTTTTTTTTAAGTGATTGATTTTATTCGTCAGAAATCTCTTCTGTAATGTCACGTAGAGTGCCGACGATTCACAGCTTGAGCAAACTATCTATTTAGTCCACAAGAGATAATGAATCATTTAGATAATTTAACGGGTATATCGAAAGCTTTCTTTAGAAACAAGCTGGTACTTATTGATCAAGTTCTCGTAGTGATGAAATTCACCAAAACTAATTTTCACACTAGTCTACCTTCATTGGTAGATTGACGAAAGGATTACTTTTTCGATTCATGGCGACAAGAAAAATTTTTTGATTCCAGTAAAACATAATAACCTTCAGAGAAAAGCGGCTTGTATTTGATTCCTAGAACGATCATTCGCTTTTTATGGCGGTCCATGTTTTAAGAAACGCAACATTTGTATTTCGCGTAGCATATCGTATTCGAGTAAAGCTTGAATACCATCTAGGTTAGATAATGACGAGCTAATTAGTGTTTGGACTATGTAAACAAACATTTGGAATCTTCAATTGAGCTGAGTTAATTGTGACTTAAGTACAATGATCTGTAATTAATGTAATGTTTTCTATTCATGGATCAATTCATAACGATAAGTAGATAATTTTCGATCGTAACGTATCATTTTTTGTATATAATCGGACAAGATATTATTTATGCTGAACTTTTCAAAAAGTTCTCTTTTCAAATGTATATTGTGAAATAGAAAGAATTCTTTTGTCTATAATGATAAAAATCATCAAATATTACGATAAAATAAAATAAAAGATAACAAGTTTTAAGTAAAACAATGTCTCTATTTAATTGTATATTCTTTTAGATGATAATGTTTTTCGATGACTTTATCATAAATAACATATTAATTAGCCACTTCTAAATATAAAGTGTTGAAATTTCGTGGATTATTCGTCACAATCAATCCAGTGTGTGACAATGTCACCCAATGAACTGCACGAAGTCTAACACCTTGACTATCGATAATACGTACATCTAATCGATGAGGTTGTCGGTTTTGTACTGCCGAAGTTAAATGTAAATTGATGCCATTATGTAAACTTCCTGCTTGTAGATTTACGTGAATAAGTGGACCAAGTTCGATATACTCCTTTCATTCATCACTATATTGTCTTCTTTCGAAGACACAATTCAACGGAAAATTGAATTGAGGATAGTTAGTTTGTCGTGTAGTTTCTGATATTTCTAGAAAGATGTTGACCGAAGGTTCTTGAGCCATTGTGCGTGTAACCAATATATTAATCTAAAAAAAAACTATTACAATCGTAAACAAAACGACTATGTTAGATGATATTCTTATGTAAAACTAAATATATGAACAAAAACAAATAGTTTTAGCTGTATTATTTATATCTTCACCAATTGAATAGAATAATAACAGCAATTGCGGACGTCCATGTATATCGATGAAAAAGAACGAGATAAATTATAATAGATGAATACAAACTATCTTTGCCTTTAAAAGATAAACAAACGATTATTGGATAGTATCAAAAACAAAATAAATTCATTCCGGCCTGCTCATGTCACATGGGCGGCTCATTTCCAATAGAGAAAATAGAAAAGTGAAAAGTATGAATTTAATCGATTAAAAATTTCGTTAAAATGAAATTGTATCATAAAGATAAATACAGTTCATAACGTAGACTGAAACATAATAGTATTACATAAATGAAAGAGGATCAAAATCCTTCGAAATATTTTGAAATGACATTGAAGATCTTGATAAATTCCAATATCGTTTTATCTTCTAGCATATGAAAATATTACATAGGTTTTTAATTAGTTTTTGAATGACTATGGGCACATGATTGCTACATGATTAACGACATATTGAACTTAACGTTAGCCGTGTCATATTTAGTCTATTTTTTTATTTACATATTTAAAATAATATCATTATAAACTTGCATAGAAAATAGCATCTGGATAAGGAAATAGTAGTATATCATTAAGTATGAAGTTCATAGGAATTTTTATTCTAATTTTGTCTTTTGTATTTGTTATTGCTGATGCAATATCATTGTCATTCGGCGTTTTTGTAGTTAAAAAGCCTTAAATTCAATAGGTTCATTTATTACTTATTCCTAATTTAAGTTCAATATATTCTCAAACTTTATTAAATATCTGAAGTATTTGCTATTCCCTAGACTGAAAGGATAGGGTCTAGAAACCGTAATTCACCTGTGTCTGTCTGTCTGTCTGTAACAATGACACAAATGACCATTCCTGTAGCACAAATAACCATTCCTGTAGCACAAATAACCATTT